TTCTCCTGTATTACTCCTGAAGATTCGGCTCCTGAATTACTCACCCGAGCTCCGGTGGATGTCCGGTGCAGGGGGATATGCTCTCTAGGTCCGGCAAGCGTGGCAATACCCCCAAAATTGCCATGCTTGTTCTATAAGAAGATATCCCATGGTTGGGGATGGATTGTACGGGGTTGACTTGTTGCACTATATGTGTGCTCTCACGGCTGTGAGTGCGAATGTTGTAAACCATATTACCTGTAAAAATCTTTAATAAAAAGAGTTTTTCAAAAAGAAAATGAGATCTACCAACAAATAAAAACCCTTTATCTTGAAACCAAACATATTAAAATACTTACTGGGACTACTGCATGCATCTTCCTATTGGAAAAACCTAATTATTTGAATATAGAAGTTCAATTTTATCAATAGGCTTTCCAATGCCTACAGCACAATAGATTTAATTAGCCATCTTAACGCTTATGGGCACGGAGAGACACTGGAACCCAGGGAGCAGGGATGTGTCAAAAACACAGGGTGCAGATAAGTCTTGAAAGACACCCTCTCATGGCTTTCTCTCCTTGCTCTACCTTGCCAGTCTCTCCTCTCTCTCCTGGCTGTCACTCCTCTCTCTCTTGGCTAGCTCTCCCTGCTCTCTCTCCTGGCTGTCTCTCTTCTCACTCCCCTGGCTCTCTCTCCTGGCTGTCTCTCCTGTCTCTCTCCTAGCTGTCTCTCCTCTTTTTCCCCTGGCTGTCTCTTCTTGCTGTCTTTTCTGGCTTTCTCTTGGCTGTCTCTCCTTGCTCTCTCCCCTGGCTGTCTCTCCTCTCTCGCCTGGGTGTCTCTCCTCTGTCGCCTGGGTGTCACTTCTCTCTCCTGGCCGTCTCTTCTCGCTCTCCTGGCTAGCTCTCCCTGCTCTCTCTCCTGGCTGTCACTCTTCTCACTCTCCTGGCTGTCTCTCCTGTCTCTCTCCTAGCTGTCTCTCCTCTTTTTCCCCTGGCTGTCTCTTCTTGCTGTCTTTTCTGGCTGTCTCTCCTTGCTCTCTCCCCTGGCTGTCTCTCCTCTCTCGCCTGGGTGTCTCTCCTCTCTCTCCTGGCTGTCTCTCCTCTCTCTCCTGGCTGTCTCTCCTCTCTCGCCTGGGTGTCTCTCCTCTCTCTCCTGGCTGTCTCTCCTCTCTATCCTGGCTGTCTCTCCTCTCTCTCCTGGCTGTCTCTCCTCTTAGTCCCTTGGCTGTCTCTTCTGGCTCTCTTCTCCTTACTCTCTCCCCTGGCTGTCTCTCCTCTCTCGCCTGGGTGTCTCTCCTCTCTCTCTCCTGGCTGTCTCTCCTCTCTCTCCTGGCTTTCTCTCCTCTTAGTCCCTTGGCTGTCTCTTCTTGCTGTCTCTCCTCTCTTTCCCCTGGCTGTCTTTTCTGGCTCTCTCCTGGCTGCCTCCCCTCGCTCTCCCCTGGCTGTCTCTTCTGGCTCTCTCCTGGCTGTCTCTCTTTGCTCTCCTCTGGCTGTCTCTCCTTGTTCAGGGCACCCCTGCTGTATATAGTAGGTGCTGATATCATGGCACTTCCTAATGTAGACCATACAAAATATTAGAGGAGTGAAATATTTTCTGGACACAGGGGGTGTATACAGGTGGTCAGTTCTGTGCATGTAGACGTGAAACAGCCCGTGCAGGTTGTGTGTACAGAAAAGGCGCACTGACTGAGCAAATACAACTGATCAAGGGCAGAGAGTATTATGCACTATATCGTCATCATCAAGTGGTTGCCATTAGTTACTGCCGTGAGAAGCCATGATGCCCTGCATTGCCTGTGCTGCAGTAAGTGGCAGTGGAAAGGATGTGTGGGTGGTTGTGACCGTGCAGTGCTGTCAGGGATGGTGCACACATAGATTCGTAGAACATTACTGACTGTTGTCTATGGCATCCACTGTAGGTGCAGAGCTTAGCGCGGCGTGGCCACCATCACTTTGCCCATTTCGTGGGCTCTTCATGACTGTGTTGTTACCTCCTCCCCGAACTCAGGGTTTCCCTCATACCGAACTCTGTCCACTCAGCCCCTTTAGGGAGCATTCAGTCCTGCTGCAGAGCAGAGCAGCAACACGTAGATCCCCAGGCCGGGTGTGTTCTGGCCACACCTATGCCATGGGATGGTACACCCCTCCCCGTCTGCAGCATCCAATACATTCAGCCGCACTAGCACCATGGGAGGGAGCTCGGGACAGCTAACTTGCGATTGCAATCTACCAGCATTTGCTTTGCGATCGACTGGTAGATCGCGATCGATCTAATGGGCACCCCTGCCATAGAAGAACCGTAGAAGAATCCTCCTCCGCTCCATGATGGTAATTCAACTGTTGCTTCATCCGCCTCAGCCAGCAGACATGGCCGCTCTAACAAAGTGGGTCCTACTAATGATTGCAGCCTAGGTCACGCCCACAATCTCAGAAAACCCTGCCCAGTACAACGTGCAGCTCACTCACTCCACAACACAGGAACGCCACGCCCACACCCTACTCCCATCTCACAGTAATCTGAGCCGCATATTATGGCAAAACATCGCTGGCGCATTGGCGCAGGCACCTCTTCTGCATTTCCAAGCACCCCCAAGTGGCGGAATGCCAGGTGGCACTTGTGACTGCTGCAACTCTGGTAGTTCCACAAGTGCCACTAGGTATCCCAGATAGAGTAGAGTAGACATTTCTGGGATAAAATGAATCTCTCCCGGGCGTCATGGAGCTGCTATCTAATAGCGGGAGACTCCCGGAACATCTCGGACTACAGGAACAGAGTTGGGATGTCTGCCTTCGGATATGGCATTCACCAGAATCAATGTGACCTAGTATAAATATACTTTGGTCATAACAAGCAGCCCACGTTGATGTTATCTCTCCGACGGCTTCTCACCACACAGACTTGATGAATGGCATAAGGCTAGGTTCAGCGCCTAAGCGACTGAGCTGTTTTAGTGCAGTTGTTACGCGTTCCTGTTCGCACGATTTTGCTTTGAAAACCGCGTGGTTGTCGTGCGGTTTTCAATGCATAGAGATGTCTATGGGACCCAAATCGCGCGAAATCCATACGAAAATCGCTCCTGAACTTTTTTGTGCAACAGGCGATTTCTAGCGCGTGACAAATCGCAAAGGTGTGAACAGCCTCCATAGACTTGAATGCAAATCTCTGTTTGGTGTGATACCGCGCGGCTAAATACGCACGATAAATTGCCTAGGTGGGAACCTAGCCCAGTGTTGAAATGGTGACTCTTGCAATATTTTCTCTTAAACAGGACAGTAAAAGACATCGTAGTGAAAATCCATTTATTAAACAAATCATTGAAAAACGAGTGCACTTATATTTCCAATCGGACACATCTGCATAAAAATCGCCCACAAATTCCAGGTGAAACTCGGCAGTCCAAACAGGGATGAACCTTCATAAAGAAGAACCCTAGCAGACTGCGCGGCGACTGGGCGGAGTCTGCTGGGGATCTTTTTTATGATGTTTCCGATTTCCTTCCCTTCCGTTGTGTTGTGTTGTTATGTTTTACGTGTTACGTTTTCTAATTGATGTTAACGGAAGGGCACTAAAAAATGAATGTGTGAATTGGGCTCGGTCACACCAGATCTTTTGCATTACGTTGCACTGAAAAACGAGTAGTGCAGGTTCTACTTTTTTTTCAGCGCAACGGAATGGAATGCTGTGAACTAGTCCCATTCACACCCTTATATTTTTCAGTGCCCTTCTGTTAACACCCATTGTAAAACATATTGCAAAGCAACAGATTGTAACGCACGGATCCAGTGTGAATGGGTCCATAAACATACATAGGCAACATGCCGAGCAAAAGTATCCACTACGGATACACCGATATCGTTTTTTTAGTATCGAGTATGAGTACTAATATTTTTTTTCCGGTACTCGCCAATACCGTGTAACAGTGCCGTGGCCCGGCTTCTTGATTGCCTGTGAAGCCGGTGTTCTAGCGAAAGAACACCGGCTTCACTTGCCGAGGCTACCTGGCTTCCTGACCAATCAGGAAGCCAGGTGGCGAGTCATGACCCACCTCCCACCATCTTGATTGGCTAAGAAGCCAGGATTCACTTGTTGTTGGGCAGCGTGGCTTCCTAGCCAATCAGAAAAGCCGGGAGGCGGATCATAAAGGCCGTGACACACTGCACGCGAAGCCATGCAGAGCGAAGCAAAGCTATCCGGCACGGAGCTTTGCGTGCAGTGTGTGAGCTGAGTGCAGTCAGATGATTGACAGCACCTTCAGCCAATCGGCTCGTCCGTAACAACCTGCCAGCTGTCGCATCGCGACGCGCTGGTTTATACGCGCGAGCCGATTGGCTGAAGTTGAAATTGTTCATCTCGGCACGCTCAGCTCCGCGAGCTCTCGCCAGCTGAGGTGCCCAGAAGAAAATGACATGACACACTGCTCGCAAAGGCAGCGCGCCCCCGCTCCGCGCTGCTTCGCGTGCAGTGTGTCACGGCCTTAACATGCTGAATTTAGTAAGGAGGTGTTACAAAGGCATACTGCAAAAAGCATACTCTCACTGCACTCTTCGGAGGACGGTGGGACTTGTAGTTCAGTCACATATAGCACCCTGCAGTCCTATCACCTCCTGAGGCGTTCTTAATGGCCGGGATGAAGAACGCTTTGACTCGGGCTACTCAATGCTGCTGTATAATGCAGGGAACGAGGTGGTCTGTCGAGGGCAAGGTACAGAGACAACATCTAAAACACGTACTCCACCGTCGGTTGTCAGGATGGCCGAGCGGTCTAAGGCGCTGCGTTCAGGTCGCAGTCTCCTCTGGAGGCGTGGGTTCGAATCCCACTTCTGACAAGTTTTTTCCCTTTAATTCTCCAACATAAATTTAGCGTTACAAATACAACATGGAATCAACAGTTTCTTAAGAACAGATCATAAGTTTCCTTTTTGTAGGTCACAGGGCGCATTACCCATTCATTTGACTACATTTACCAACATGCCTAGCTCCATGTGTGCCGTCACTTCCTGGCCGCATCTGTTGTGGCGGGAGTTTGTGGTAGGTAAGTATTGGGACTGTTGGTGTGAGGTAGTCCCGTTATATGCGGCTGTATACATCCATTCATATACATCTGTACCTTCCTCAGAGATGACCGAGAGCCGCCCTGCCTCCTGTGCCCGTCTGGAGCTCGGCACCTTGACCTCGGCAGACCAGGAGCCCCTCCACCTCCTTCCCTGCGTTATACAGCGGCATGGAGCAGCCCGAGTCAATGCGTTCTTCACCCCGGCCATTAGGAATGCCTCAGGAGGTGAGTGGTGTGCCTATGGACGGAGAGGGAGGATAGGACTGCAGGGTGCTATATGTGACTGGACTATAAGTCCCACCGTCCCCCGAACAGTGCAGCGACAGTATGCTTTTTGGTGGCCTTTCCCCCTAGTGAGGTGCCTGCTTAGTCTGCGTGGACGGGCAGCATCTGCGCAGGCAGCATGTGGACGGGCGGCATCCGCGCAGGCAGCATGTGGACGGGCAGCATGTGGACGGGCTGCATCTGCGCACAGAAAAACACCTGTTGTCACAAAAGTGCAGGAGCCTTTTTCTGGGAAGATCAGCACGATTTGTCCCCATAGACTCAATAGGAAACGTGCAACACAATTATTTTGCGTGTTTTCCATATACATCAGAATGTCACAGATCTGCTTACAAAAATGTGCGACTTAGTATATGCGCAGAAAAAAAAGCGTAATCTGCACTGAAACGCTGTCACCTTGGTGTGAACGGGACCTAAAAGCTGACCATTGTAAACACCCGTCGGCATTAAATGTTTTGTTTCAGCCCTCTATTTGCCTCTTTTGTTCGAAGCTTGGTCTGTTTTAAGCTCACCCCACATGTTAGCAATCCTACGGGCGGACGGCAGGAGGTTAATCTATTCAAGTGGCATAATTAGCTGTTGGTAAAGATACTGAATCAAACAGATATGTTAAGCAGAAGCCTTTATGTTCTTACTCTTTGTCTGCAATTGCAGACAAACTGAATAAACAAAGCAGTGTTTACGCTGGCTAGGCATGTGATGACAGATGTGAAATGCTGATAGGCTATATCTGTACAGTTGCTCAGTATTCTTGGATATTTTAAAGTTACTTGGTACTCCTGAATATTTGAAAATTGTTCATTTATTTTTAGCAATACCCTTTATTTTGTACAGGTAAAGAGGTCTCGTTCAGAGGCAGAATATTCCGAGGGCAGGAGGTTACTGTACCTGAAGGCTATATGGGGCTCGTTCTGAAGGAGGATAATAAACCGTTCTCTGAGGAAGAGGTAAAACTGCTCACATGACACTCCGATTCCATCACCCAATTGCCATATTTTCCGTTTGTAGGTGTCACATAGATTACGTTAGTTTTACTAGTAGAGTTGTAAGCGTTGTGATCACAGCAATGTACAAGTCAGCAGTGGCAGCATAATTCTGGAATGACAGGTGCCCTTTAAGCACATCCATATCTTTTTTCCTGCAAATGCTGGTCACACGCATTAGTCTGCTTGTGCAGTCTCCTTTTATATTTATCGACAACTCTACAGAGAGAGCCTGACTGGATATAAATTGAATGATTTAGATATGGCCTCACTCTTTGTAATTGGTACATGTAAAATAGCTTGCATTGGGATTTGACAATCTGATTCTTAAGATGAACTTTCTGACACACATGACTTGTTCACTTCTCTAGGTTGCAGGAGGAAGTGCTTGATGTGGGATGTTTGGATGAGCAGATTTCAAGAGATGGTTATAATTATACATCTGCCTTCAGCAATCCTCTAACCAGGTTGTTTGGATTTAAGATTCCTTTAGTGTAGGGATCACATTGCTTTGTCCTTCTCTATTCCAGGATCGTTCACTGACAGTCAGAAACACTTTCCAGTCCTTTACACAATGGAACCTGGAAACACCACCATCTGCAGACGATGTCTTAGTGATGTCACTAGCATGGCCGAAGATCGCTGCTGCGGTAACACATCCAGACCACACTATTTAATTGCTTGATTACTTTACTTTAAATGCATTGTTTCCTGGAATTTGGGTTTTATTAACAGTTGTGCTAACATTATGTGGCATAAATCTCCACCATTTTATTCTCCATGGTCTCTGCTTTAAAGAAATATATAATTGGGGGGGGGATACAAAGGGTTTATAGCTGTTCCATGCATAATCCATGTCAGTGGCTGAGAAGTAGCCATGTAACTAGAATTTCAGAAGGTGGTTGGCAGATGCTTGTCTATGGCTTTCTTTCAGTTCAGTTACCATTTTATAGGCTGGTGTGTCACTAAACTCAGGAGTTAAGGCTGGGTTCACACCTAGGCGTATTGAATATGCACGTTTTTCACGCGTTTTTTTTACAGCGATCCGCGGTAAAAAAACCGCGCAAAAAACACGTGTTTCCGAGGGCTACTTGGCTGTACCCCAATGGAAACGCCCGACCAAAACGCCTCAAAGAAGTACATGTACTTCTTTGGGCATAGGGCGGTTTCCCACGCGTTCGTACTCACGGAAAACCGCCCAGATGGGAACCATGCACATTGAAAATAATGGCATTTCCCTGTTTGAGCGTTTTTCCGCGAGTACGAAAGCGCGGAAAAACGCCCAGGTGTGAACCCAGCCTAAAATTGCATTCAAGTACCTTCACTCTTAACAAAAATGTATCTTATTTGTGTATCCTCAAATCATCTCCGAATTGTCCTTCCTTCTGGAGGCTGGCTACTTTTGTTGATCATGGTCCCTGTGTGTTCAAATCTAAAAATGCACTCGAGTACCTATGGCTGTTGCAGTCAGAGCTTTCTTAGAATCAAACACTTAGGGGTCTATTCACTAAGCTGCCATAGGCAGCCGAGTAAACAACCGACCCCAAGTGAAGTGAGCCGAAGGCTGTTTGGCTATTCACTTCAGGTTTGTACGACTGATTTCAGCCGTACATCGGGGGGCTTCAAGCTCAGCATGTTCGGCCGACCCGAAGTGCAGAAGGAGTTAGACTCAGCCGATCCAACATCTTATTTTCTTCTGACGGCCAACGGCTGCCGTCAGAAGAAAATAAGAAAAAAACGAGCAGGGAAAGGTTTACTCGGCTCGATGGAGCAGAGTGAACCTTTCTGTGAGAGGCTCCCATAGCGTCCGGTGTGGCCGATGCATTCCTGGTTACAAGGTAACCAGGAACGCAATCTGACATTACAGACTGAGAACACGGAGAGGCTGCTGTAATATCATAGCGGCCCTGCCGGGTTCTCAGTGTGTAATGACAGCGTCCCTGATTACCAGGGACGCTGATCTCTATGCAAGTGGCCGGAGCTAGCTGTGAGATGACGGCTGGCTCCGCCCAGCTGTCTGAAGCAGGCTTTTGGCCGGCTTCGGCTTTCAGCGCGGCTCAGCCGAGCCGAGGCATATGCGTTCGGCTCAACTGAGCCGCTCAGCTAAGTTCGGGAGCTGTACGGGCTATACTGAATAGCCCGTACAGCAGCCCTTCGGTTCTACTGAACCGAAGGGGTCCTGGGGCCGAAGCTAGCCGAAGGATCGGTCAAAGCTACGGCTAGATCCTTCGGCTGCTTCGTGAATAGACCTCTTAGTAGGTCAGTGATATATGAAGCACAGCATACTATCCGTACGTTTATGTCATTCTCTTTTATTTTCAGGTCCATGCACCCGTTGATTAGAAGTTCACCATTCTGTTTGGTATGAAGGCCAGCCGAGGTGTATTTCTCTAGTAAATATTTTGTATCTGTAAATAGAGCTCAAAGTTAATTTCATTAGCCATAATTAGTGGTAAATACTATACTGCAGCTGTACTTGTGCACCAAAAAGTGTACTCGGTGTAACCATTTTTTTAATAATAAAATGTAAAAATGTGTTTCTTCATGAATTTCTCAAAAATAACTTGTGTATTGAATACATCTTCATCACAAACCATGAACCAGCTGTTATTGTAACCTGTGATATATAAATATAGAAGTGAGAACCTCACAGATATTTTATCATTTCAGTGGTGAGTAGTAGACACATGTCCACATATTGAATGGACTGTCACGCAGGCAAAATCGGCTAGGGCTTTCAAAAGATTAGGGAGAGATAACTGGGGCCATGTGAAAGATAAGAGCACATCATCAGCAAATAGGGAAAGCTTATGGTCGGTACCACCTATTTCAATTCCTTTAACCCCTTCATGACTGAGCTTGTTTTTGGTTTCTGTTCGTAAATGACTGACACACTTTTGACATTTATTTTTTTCGCTTTTCACTTTTTTTTAAACTTACAAATTTTTTTTTTTTTTTTTGACTTTAAAGAATAGATACAAAATGTTATGTATTAGACACATAATGTATCTATTCTTGAAAGTCAAAAGATAAAAAAAAAAAAAAGCCAGTATAGCTTGAGAGAGATATCTCTCTCAAGCTATACTGGCTTTTTTTTTTTTTTATCTTTTGACTTTCAAGAATAGATACATTATGTGTCTAATACATAACATTTTGTATCTATTCTTGAAAGTCAAAAGATAAAAAAAAAAAAAAGCCAGTATAGCTTGAGAGAGATATCTCTCTCGATCTATACGAGCTGTCAGAATGCCGGCAAAAGCCGGCATGTGTGTCCGCTCTGCTGTGACTCTCAGACACCCGATATTAAGGTATCGGTTGTCTGAAAAAGGTTAACCCTTTCAGTAATGGATCTCTAGATAGTTAGACATCCATTACTAAATGGTAACCGCTGAGAAGGTTAGCAACTTCTAGTGCAGCAAATAACTCGTCACGTACAGTGTATGTCACGAGTCATTTGGTCCCTTTGTGGCTGGACGTACAGTGTACGTCTCCCGTCACGAAGGGGTTAATGGCCGGATGGGTTTATAGGTACTCAGCCAAAGGTTCTAAGGCTAGGATGAAGAAAATGGGTGATGGTACAGCCCTGACACCTGCTCTGGGCTAGTTTGTTATTTTTTTACTTCCTTTACCAGACCAAGATTACAGCAAAAGTAGCAGTTAGAGGGTTGACAAAACATTTAGCGCTGATAGGGGCACATGATAGTTCGCTTTTATGTATTTTCGTAAAACTTCTACCCAAAAAAAAAACTGTTTTCTCTAACTGCTTAAAAATGTTAGTTCAGCTTTATTTTGTTGGAAAATTCCATCTAATACAGCCCTGTCCACAGGCTGACAATACTACCGTACTTCCAAAGTGACTCTATTGCTCCTCTATAGAGTGGAGCCACCCTAAGACAGGAAGTGTTTTATTGACCAGATCTAGAGGTGAAAATAAAGGAAAAGGTCCTAGATTAAGCAAACTAATGCAGCCACAACATTTAAAAGAGAACTATGGCTCAACATTTTTCTGACAATTCTCTTTAGGGTCACGGGAAGACATGTACTAATGTCCTCCTGTGACCCAAAACTCAGCATATAGCGGACTATTGCCTGCTATATGCTGACAACGCAGAGCCGTGCTGCAGTTGGAATCCACTCCGCTACCTGATTGACAGATGTGCCCACCCCCACCTCATCCATCCCCCCAGTCACTGGAGGGAGGGGGAATCCCTGGGGGGAGTGGTGACTGACAGATCACCAGGCAATCGGTGGTATGTGATCCCTCGATCATTAGAGCCGACCTGTGAAAGCTTTAGTGTCACACGCTGGCTCTAATTATGGGGATGAGTGTATTTTACTCTCCCCATAATACTCCTTTTTAAAGTCCATTTCTACCTTGTAAGTGATTAGCATTTATTGTGGTAATGTAGAGGTGCAGTGATGATGTATGTGTGTGCAATTATGTTTTTATTGGGCCTGAAGTCTAGAAATTCAACATTTTCTCCACAGGAAACTCAATCTGACACCAGGGTTGGATGTAAAGTGGACTCTCCCCTCCCTGTTATTCAGTGTAACACAATCCGTAAACAGCAGCTCTGCCTTTTCACACAATACACTGTCCAGGGAGGGGGGGTTGCCACTATGAATACTAATGAATAGGGGGTGGGGGGCTCACTTGTACTATACACATTACTTGTAAAGCACAATTGCAGCGCTTTCCATGTGGAGATGAAGAGGAAAGCTAACACAAAATGTAAGTTTTTGTGTTCATATACAGCAATAGCAGATGCCTGCTTCATGTACACTCGGTGTACATTGCTGGCATATGGTTTTTTTTTAATACCTCAGCAAAGGTGGAAATGGGGTTCAAAGATTGCAGTATATTCATTTTTTGTTGTTGGGTTTAGATACACTAAACTGTTTGTGCCCACCTATCATAAGGCTAATGCGAAGGTGCAAGTGTCTGGCAGCAGCATTTTTCCCATTTATTTATGTTCTGAAGCATTGTGGGGGGTAATTACACTGTGTTAAAGGAAGATATGTTGGTGGAGCACTTGATCGGGATATTGGTAGGTATTTAGATCTGTTCATCTACTAGTTCAGAGGCTGCTCTTTAAAATCTGTTGGGGAAATTCCACGTTTGTTTTATACTGTTCCACATTTACATCATGTATTGACTTAACGGTGCATACAATTCTGATGAATGTTTTATATGGTATCTATAGCCCTGATCAAGGGGGATTGGAAAGGTCCCTGAAACGCATTGGCTATCTTATGATGAAAAACAACTGGACTGTCATCCATAGGTCTGGGTCACGCTACTTTAGTTATTACAACATAACATTGGCCTTTAACACTACATTTCTCATGCTGAGCTATATTACTGAATTGAATATTCCGTGGTTCTGTCACAAGGAGCATGAAATGCAATCAGTAATTTCCATAGGAGTTAGCCTTCTGCAAACAATTACATGGCTTTAACCTGATATGTATCTAGACCAGAAACAACGAATCTATAATGAACCCTTGCACCCTCACTCCCTCCCCTACTCAGTCGCATGCTTGTCAACACCGGTGAAGCCAGTATAATAGGCAATATATCGCAGTTATACCTGAACCAGGGGCGGGCGGACTGACTGTTCGGGCCCTGCCCGAGCACCGGTGGCCTCCCCCATGCCTCAGCCTCCTCCTCCCGGTGTCACCCAGAGTCCCAGTGAGCACAGACTGACTGCTTCCGTTTGTGACCTCCTCCATGTGTCAGCCTCTTCTTCCTCTCCGGGCTGCTCATGGTGGACTGTGGACAGGCTGAATAGAGATGTGTAAGTAGAGTGTACAGTAAACTCCTCATTATCCGGCATCCACAGGGATTGGTAGATTTCCGGATAAATTTAATTTCTGGTTGCTTGAGAGTTACTATTAAAAATAGGTCTAACTAATGCCATACCCCATACTATACCATAATATAAACTCTGTATTGACTTCATTATTAATATTAAAATACAGTAATCAAAAGCAAATTAAGACAAATAGACACTTTCCAGGATAATACATGCCGCAGGACAGTGAGTACACAGGGAATGTTTTTTTTTCTGGTTAGTTGAATACCGGATAACAAAGTTTACTGTACAATATTTCTCAGAAAAGAAGTCGCACTTCCGTGAATCACCATGAATAAAGCAATGAATACGTGCTGTGGAACGACTTCCCATGTGTACAACCTCACGCATTTCACCGATCTGGCTTAATCAGAGAGTGCCTCTGTAATTAGGCATAACAACCAAGGGGGGAGACGTTGCAGTTGCCCCAGGTACAAAGATGGGGGGGAGCAGCGAACACATTTACGACCGGTTCACACCATCTCCAGTGCGTTCCGGGACTGGAGATAATGTAAACCGGCCCTAAAACCTGCGACATACTGCACGCAGAGTCGCGCGCAGCAAAGGAAAGTGGCAGTGGGGAGTTCTAAGTGCAGTGTGTCTGCCAATATCCTCTCCTGCACTCAGCTAGAAGAGAGCTGAGAGTGGCGAGATGGAAAACACATGAATCCGCGCGTCAGGACGCAGATTCAAGCGTGCAGCCAATCTAATTCCCCCTTATCAAAGTGTCTGGTGAGGAGTCCAGGAGAGAAGTCCGCTTAGTAATGCTTTCCTTCCTGCACAAGTTCTTTCTGTGACGTGCCAGGGATGGGATGCAGAAAGAAGGAATATGAGATATGTCCATTAAATAACTAATATTCAATAAGTAATATTCATTAATAATATAAAAACTTTGAATACTTTATCAGAATGGAAAAAATAATTGGCCAACTAATCGATTCTGAATATAATTGTTAGTTGCAGCCCTACATGTAACATGTCTCAGTAATAAAATGTCCTGTGTAGTTTAGGCCTTGCTAAGTATGAGAAGCAATGAGTACCGGGGGAATTTAAATCTTCACGTGTTGTTTTTGCAAGCTAACACATTGAACAGTACCACTACAAGCAGCATGAAAAAACAAGAAGCCACTGCCACGTTTGCAGTCAAATTTAAGAAACCACACTATTTTTTTTAGACACGTTTCTTTTCTAATTGTTTCTTTGGAGCAGATTTATATATGGGACTACAAGGTACCATCTCAAAGTGCAACTAGAGATGAACAATGAGGGACAAACAATGTAGAGGCCAAACCCTGAGATCGTTAACACTTTGTTAGGTCAGTGTGTGTTCAAATCTAGTTTACAACTGATAGATCTGTCAATTATGGTAAACATTAACTCCCCAGCCTCCTCAACATACCATAGAGAGGGGAAAACTTCAGTTTTAAAGATTTCAGAAAAGAGCAAGTAAGGTAAGCAGCCATTTTTAGTACGTGTTATTCCAATTTGGCTGCAAA